CACCCCAGTGCCTGAAAGGGTACGCTTGACAGGAGGATTCTAGCTACTAACTCACCTCGCTGCCAAGTCCATTCCGGCTCCTAGGAGCCTAGAGGACGGAACAGAATTACCCCTGTGGGTTTGCCGGGAAGCTGCTGGTGGCTTTGAACCGCTGACCTTTCCTTTAAGGGTCCAGTGTGTAGCCCACTACACCACCAGAGCTTCCCTCCAGTTACTGTAACCACGGACACTTCACCACCACTAGAGTTAATGCTAACTATCCACAGGAGGAGAAGTGAGGTCTCTGGGGTTCTGAACCTGGAACAATTCACCAGACTCTTAAATCAGAGGCTGGGTGTTAAGGCATTCCTATTTAGAATAATCTCTCTACCCTCCGCCCCAGGCCCTTTACAAATAAACGTGTATTTGCTGTGGGCGATTTGGAACTCGTAGACATCGAAAATAATCATGGAAATAAAGAAGACAATAAAACTGGGCAATAACCCTGCCTGTAGATAACTCGCCTGTGTTTATGTGGATTTCTCTCCGTTTGCTGCCCCCGCCCCCGCCTCCGTGCACCTGTGAACATCCCCGTGCCCCCTCCCACCCCCTCCCTGACGGCCTTGGTTGCTGGAGCCGGCGAAACCAAAATGCCACAAGCAGGTGGATTTAACCAACAGAATATATCGTCTCACAGTCCAGGAGGCTGGACGTCCACATGCGGGGCGGCGCTGGAATGCTCGCTCTCCCGGAGAGTCTGTGGGGAGACCCCAGTCTCCCCCTCCCGCAGCTCTTGCTCCTTGCCCGGTTCCATCACCTCCTCCATCTGTGCTTCTGTGAGAATCTGCCTCTTGTGTCTCGGACGTCATTGGTCTGAAACGCCCCACACGTGTTGTTATCCGGTGCCATGGAGCCGCCCCGACCCACGGCGACCTGTGAAAGAAGCCCTGCCCAGTCCTGCGCCTCCTCCTCCTTGTTCCCGTGCCAGGGAGCCCGTGGTGGCGGCCACTGCGCCCATCCCTCTTGTCCCCCTTGTCCCTCTGCTGCCCCTCTACTGTACCAGGCAGGACGCCCTCCGGGGACTAGTCTCTCCTGACAACACGGGCAAAGTGCCAGAGACCAAGTCTCGCCAGGCCCGATTCTAAGGGGCGCTCGGGCCACACTTCTTCCAAGACAGATCTGTTTGTCCTTTCGGCAGTCCTCGGTCCTCTCCGCATGCTTCTCCAGCACCGCCATCCAAAGGCCTGCATTCCTCTTCGGGCTTCCTTAGGCAAGGGTCGGCTTTCTCGAGCTCAGGCTGTTGTCAGGGGCGGTGGGGTCGGCCCTGACAGAAGGAAGTGCCGCACGGCCCTGTGGCAGCCACACAATCGTCCCTGTGCCTCCGTCCATGGATGCAGCCACGGTGTCAGGTCACCGTGCTGACGACCTTCTGAGGCAATGCAGGCAAACATGCTGATGTGGCCATTGAACATACCATGACCAAAAAGAAAATACCATGACTTGGGTCAGTGCACCTTAGTCCTCAAAGTAACCTCCCCGCTACCTGCTACTACCTTTCAACACTTTACAGGGGTCTTGTTATTGACTTGTATGAACTGTAGGCCAATAAAACTGTTGGGGACCAGACTTCAACCCGGTGCTCCAAGATATGAATGCAACACACAGGCAAGAAGCAGGGAACCAGTAGAGAGGTCTGAGGGGCCAGCCCCAATTCCAACTACGTGGACGGCCCTCCCTCCCCCCAGAAGAATTTACTTCAGAGGGCAGTACTGAAGGGGCAGCTCAGAGAGAGGGACATTTCTGATCAGAGCACACAGG